AGGGGCTGCCTTGGAGGTCACTTGGGTGCGGCCTTGCAGAAGTTTCAGTTAAGAAATACCGATCAAATCGCAGCTTAGCAGCATCCTCCCCTGAATTTACGAGAATACAAACAACCCACCAGAAATACTAAGCCATGTGTAAAATCCCACCTTCTCCCAGCATCGTGATTTAGACCTAGCCGGCAAGCAGCTAAGTACCACGCAGCTGCTCGCTCACCTCTCCTTCACACCTTTCCCTTTCAGGCAGAATGGGAAGGAGAATCAAAAGAATGCAAGTCCCACGGGTTGAGATAAGAACAGTCCAATAACTAAAGAACAATATAATAATAATCAGGGGAAAAAAAATAAACACGAGTGATGCACAATACGATTGCTCCCCACCTGCTGACCGATACCCAGCCCGACCTGAGCAGTGATCTGGGCCTTCCAGGTGACTCCCCCCAGTTTCTATACTGGGCATGATGTGCTGTGGTATGGAATACCCCTTTGGCCAGTTTGGGTCAGGTGTCCTGTCTCTGCTTCCTCCTGGCTTCTTGCACCCTCCTCACTGGCAGAGCATAAGAGACTGAAAAGTCCTCATGCATTAAGCATTACTTAGCAACAACTAAAACATCAGTGTGTTATCAGCATTATTCTCAGACTAAAGCCAAAACACAGCACAGCACCAGCTACTAGGAAGAAAATTAACTATCCTAGGCTGAAACCAGGACACCTATTTTAGTAGACCTCACGGACAAAGCTATAGTAGCCCACTCACATATTTTCTCAGCTGCAAAGAAATTAATTACTGTATAACAATAAAATGTTTTTTACATTTTGAAAAAATCTACTTTCCCAAAAGTACTTAGAAAAAGCAGTCAGCTAAAGCTGATTAAGGGAATGCCAAAGAGAAGAAGTTTATGGCCAGCAAGTATCATGTAGGTTTGTATACCTGCACTGTGTTGTTTGTTACATTGTTTCATATATATGTGAAATATGTGAATGTCTATATATGTGTATTTATACACCTTACTCTTTATTCCATATACTTAGCTCTTAAAAAACTAAGTAGTAAGGCTAGGAGTAAGATTTGCCTACATGTGCATAATTATAAAGGCATTTGTAAATGGTATGTTTCAATAACAGAGATTTTTTTAAATCTTGTTCTCTAACTGCTTTAAAGAGATGGCGGAGCTGGCAGAGCATGGTGTTTACTTGCCTTATAATATGCAAGGACTAACAGATGAGCAAATCGAAGAACTGAAGTTAAAGGATGAGTGGGCAGAAAAGTGTGTACCAAGTGGTGGAAGTGTCTTCAAGAAGGATGAAATTGGGCGAAGAAATGGACACGGTAAATCCAATGTAAATGTTTCTTTCCCTGTAGACACAGATAACCTATAACATAGTGAGGAACATAAAAACTGTAATTCAGGACCTTTCTCATTTACCTCACTGTCCTGGAAGAAGAAAAAGCTGAGTAGATACTAAATATAGATTTGATCTCAGATCAGCATGTTAGCCAGCTCATGTTTATTTGCTAATTATAAAAATCATTGTGTAAATAAACCGTATTAAAGGCAGTTGTAGATTTGTTAAGTGGCAGCTATTTAGGAGCCTGTTTCCACAATGGATTAGCTGAACTATCAGTTACATACGTAAGTCTTCTGTCTTGGGTTAGGACCTGGTGTAATGTTGATTTAAAAGACTAAATAGTAGTATATCTCTTTAGCATGTATGCTGTCTAGCTTTGTGACTGTAGTACTTGGAAGCAAACTCCAAAGAGAAGTAAACAGTTACCAGAAGCAAGTTTGATTGTTTAATTTATTAATTGTAAATGTAGAGGCTCTGAGATTCATTGGCAGGTTGTTCTGATTTCTCCTTTTTTTCTTCATTGGCTGTGGCTCAGACTCAGTGATTTCACTCCTGTCACTTTTTCTTTTGCCAAGTGGTTTTGCCTTAACACTTGGTACGTGTATCGAGCACCACTTTACAGTTGAGCATGAGGACTGATGGCACAGAAGAGATCATGATTGTCTTTTTGCTGTCTGTCCCTGTATTCCAGACACCACAGCGGCCCTTGTCAGGTCAGCCCTTTAGATGTTGATTGCAGGACAGCTCAGTTACAGAGGGATCTTTGAATAACTTGGTCTTAGCTTGTCATATGCAGAGCTTACTCCAAATGTCTTATTTGGGGGGTAGTAGTTCTTCTATCAGAACACACTGCCCAACCATATTTAAGCCTTTGCTGAACTTAAGAGCTTATATTATAGCTAAACGTTTTACCTCCTAACTGCGTTCTCAGAAATAGCCGAGTGTCTTGTACATAGGCATGTGGATAAGCATGGTTTTTAGCAGTGTCAGGCCTCACAGTAAAAGTTTGCGTCAACTTTAATATAAGGACAGTAGCACTTGTATTCTGTGGTTTATTTGTTAGTAGGAGGACAGCTTTGTAATAATAACAAAATTATAATGTTGAACAGTATGTAAATGTGGAAAGGTAAGTTTGGCTCTCCCATGAGAAATACTGTTTTAAGTTAGTAAGAAATATGGCAATGGACTATCAAAGTGGAAAGTAGACTGCAACTTAGTAACATCTCTCTTGCTTTGAAATTTAACAATGTTTCTTTTGCTTACAGTAGAGAGTAACCTGGACAGGCAGTTTGCTTGGTTTCCTTATACTAAGTGTGGTCTATTAAATATGTGTCTCTTATTTTTAGCTCCAAATGAAAAAATGCAGCAAGTTATAAAGAAGACAATAGAGGAAGCCAAGGCATTAATCTCTAGGGTAAGTTTCCTGAAGTAACACGTGGTGCGTGGGACTTTCTTAATGGATGCTATGTAGTTGGGCATCTTAAGAAAAAACAGACTTTTTTCAGTGCAGGGGCCGATATTTTTTTGAGTAATAATATGAAGTGATGTGAATAGTGTAATAAAACCTGATGTTTCTGTTAATGATTTTCTTAATGGCTTTTGGCAAGCTGGTTCAACAAGTTAAGGAATCATATATTAAACTCCAAGTGAATGCTGGCAGCCAAGACCACACTGAATGATTAAATTGCATTTAATTTTATCCACACACTCTTAATTTGCTGTTGATGCATTCTTTAGGCAAATGCTTGTCGTGTTTTCTGGTGAAAAATTAACTTAATTCTGTGATGTTCCTGGAATAAAATACCTTTTGCTCGTTAACATAGTCTTTTGAGTTTTATGTATAATTAGTTGAAAAATGTGTTCTAATCTCTTAGATTAGGCCTTGGTTTTACAAGCACTTGGAATCCTGCTCAGTCCCAACGAGTTTGTGTATTTAAAGATAAGCGTGAGGTTATGCCTTGATGGGACCGTGGTCTTAATTATTCAACTTTACTTTACCAAATCTGTAGATGCTCTGTATTGTGTCTTAGCTTCAGAAGACTTTGAAACACAAATGAAATAATATTTACTATCAAATTTCTGTCAACATCTGCAACTAATTCTCTCCTCCCTGCCTGTGCAGTTATGCAAATAGATAATGTTACTGATTTTTTTTTAGTGTTGCCTATGTACTTAAATTGGCATTCTTGGCTGTTTTGTTAACAGTATCAGATCAGTCATTTAGAGTGAGCAACTCAGTGTTTCCAAAGGCCTCATGGAGGCAACCAGAGGAGTGCCTGGCAGCACTTCCAGTGAGCTGAGCAGCAAACCTTTCCTAAATTAAGACAGGATTTCAGCCAAATTGTTCTGAGTCACAGCAAAAATACAAACTACACAAAATGAGAGATGTTTCAGATTAAAGCTTTTGGACTATAAAGATTTTCTCCAGATGGACTTTTTTTTTTTTTTTTTTTTTTTTTCTGTTGCATCTCATTGGCTTTATTTCTAAAAACAGAGAGGAAATTAGTAAAGTGTATTTTTACTGCTTGAGTCAAAAATGTCTGCGGATCTGGTCTCCAGTTTGCAGGTCTTCCTGGGTTTAACTTCCAACTATATACCATATTGTCGTTTACAATAAAAAATCGCAAAATTCCTACACTGCAGGTTGACTTACTCCTGAAATTATTACTTCTGCCATTCACTGGTGAATGAAGCTAAGGATTGTTGAAGTGGTTTGTTAGGTTCATCACATTATAATAAATAATGTAAATGAAGTACTTGCCAGTTAACTAGTTTAAGAATGTCCACAAGGAGGCAATATTCTCTTACTCACTTTTTCTTAAAACTTGTTACTTAAAATATTGAAACTGTTAAATCCATAAGCAAAAACTTTATTTCTTCTCTTCCAACTGCATCTTGTTTTTCCCCTATCTGTTGTGGTAGGGTTTGAAATGATCTCAAGTACTTGATCTTGCAGATCTCTGCATAAGCTGTGCAGTTTGCCAAGCTTTACTCTTCTGCTCACATATGCTCTATTTTTTTTCCTCAAGTTTTAGGCCCCCTCTGTAGCCCTCACTTGAATTCTAGTGTTTTGACTCATGTTCATGAATCACAAATACTTGGAACAAAAGACTCCCCATCCAGTTTCTGTGGTCATACGTGTACTTGTTTGAATGCCTGTATCCCACAGTCATTGGTTACTAAATGTTTCCTGCACAATTTAGTGAAGATCTCTTTTCTTTTTGCTTTTTCTTCTCCCCCTCCTCTCCCTGCCCAGTGTAAGCAAGCTACATAGAGAGGGCAAAAGCGAAGTGGTGTATTCAAAAGTCAGTATTCAAACAAGGAAATTGGCGCTCCTAATATCTTTGTGCAGCAGTTAGTTTTGCTCAAATATCCCACTGCTG